TTTAGTGGGATTTTGGGGAAATTTGGTGGGATTTTGGGAGGAAATTTGGTGGATTTGGGGAAATTTGGTGGGATTTGGGGAAATTTGGTGGGATTTGGGAAATTTGGTGTGATTTGGGGGAAATGTGGGATTTGGGGGGAAATTTGGTGAGTTTTTGTGGAAATTCGCTGGGATTTTGGAGGAATTTGGGAAATGGGTTTCACAAAATTTGGGGGGAAATTGGTGACATTTTGGAGGAGTTTTGGGGGAAATTTGGTAGAATTTGGAGGAATTTGGTGGGATTTTGGAGGAATTGGGAAAATGGGTTTCACAAAATTTGAGGGGAATTGAGTGAAAACTTGAAAGAGTTTTGGGGAATTGTGATTTTTGGGGGGAAATTCGCTGGGATTTTGGAGGAATTTGGGAAATGGGTTTCACAAAATTTGGGGGGAAATTTGGTGAAAATTTCGAGTAGTTTTGGGGATATTGGGAATTTGGGGGAAATTTGGTGAGATTTTGGAGGAATTTGTGGAGATTGTGGATTTTACAAAATTTTGGAGTAATATTTTGGGAATTTGGAGGAATTTGGGGGGAAATGGGATTTGGGGGGATTTTGGAGGAATTTTGGGGGAAGTTGTAGATTTAGTAAAATTTTGGAGAAATGTTGGGGAAAAATTTGGTGGAATTTTGGAAAATCTTTGGAAGAAATTTTGGATTTGGGGCAGATTTTTGAGAAATTTTAGAAGAATTTTGGGGAAATTGGGTTCTGGGGATTTTGGAGGAATTTTGGGGGAATTTCAGAGGAATTTATGGGAAATTGTGAATCTGGGGATTTTGAGGGAATTTGGTGGAATCCTGGAGGAATTTTGGGGGAAGTGTGGATTTGGGGGATTTTGCAGGAATTTGGGGGGAAATTTTGGATCTGGGGAGATTTTGGAGGAATTTAATGGGGTTCAATGGGACCCAGTGGGATTCAATGGGGTTTAAATGGATTCAATTGGGCTCAATGGGGTTCAATGGGACCCAATGGGAATCAATGGGGTTTAATGGGCCCCAGTGGGGTTCAATGGGGTTCAATGGGACCCAATGGGATTCAATGGGGTTCAATGGGACCCAATGGGATTCAATGGGGTTCAGTGGGACCCAATGGGAATCAGTGGGGTTTAATGGGACCCAGTGGGGTTCAGTGGGGTTCAATGGACCCAATGGGATTCAATGGGGTTTAATGGGATCCAGTGGGGTTCAATGGGGCTCAATGGGGTTTAATGGGGTTCAGTGGGACCCAATGGTACCCGATGCTTCCCCCCCCCCAGGCTGAGTCCCCCCAGGCCTCGCAGTGGAGCTGGTACCCGAGGACCCCCCCCCCTGCGCGCTGCATCCGTGCGGGATGCGGGAACGCGCCCGTGGCCAGCGGGGACTGGGATGAGGAATACTGCAGCAGTGAGTGCGTGGTCAGGCACTGCCGGTGGGTACCACAAACACCCAAAAACACCCCAAAAACACCCCAAAAACACCCAGAAACGGGAAAAATCACCCCAAAAACGGCCCCAAAACACCCAGAAACGGCCCCAAAACACCCCCAAATACTGCAGCAGTGAGTGCGTGGTCAGGCACTGCCGGTGGGTACCACGAACACCCAAAAACACCCCAAAAACACCCCAAAACCACCCAGAAACGGGAAAAATCAACCCAAAAACGGCCCCAAAACACCCAGAAACGGCCCCAAAACACCCCCAAATACTGCAGCAGTGAGTGCGTGGTCAGGCACTGCCGGTGGGTACCAGGAACACCTAAAAACACCCCAAAAACACCCCAAAAACACCCAGAAACGGGAAAAATCACCCCAAAAACACCCCAAAAACACCCAGAAACGGCCCCAAAACACCCAGAAACGGCCCCAAAACACCCCCAAATACTGCCTGCCCCCTATTATCCAAAATCCCTGTTTTTCCCCCCAAATCCCACCTGAAAAACCCAAAAACCCCTTTTTTACCCAAAACCCTTCCCCCCCCCATTTTTAACAAAAATCCCCCTTTCTCCCCCCAAACCTGCCCCTTTTTAACCAAAACCCCCTTTTCCCCCCCATTTTTAACCAAACCCCCCCTTTTCCCATTTTTAACCAAACCCCCCCTTTTCCCCCCATTTTTAACCAAAACCCCCCTTTTCCCCCATTTTTAACCCAACCCCCCCCTTTTCCCCCCATTTTTAACCAAAACCCCCCTTTCCCCCCCTATTTTTAACCCAAACTTCCCCTTTTCCCCCCGTTTTAAAATCCCCCTTTTTCCCCCCAAACAGGGACGTGTTCCTGGCCTGGCTCGCCGCCCGCAATGCCGGCCCCAACAACGTCGTCTTCGTCAAGTGAGCCCCCCCTCCCCCCCATTGGCACTTATGGGGCGCCCCACACCCCCCCCATGGCCACCCCACACCCCCCCTTTGTGCCCTGGTTCCTATTAAAGGGGTGCAGGACCCTTCGGGTGCGTTTTGGGGGGGGAATGGGGCCAAAAACGGGGGTTTTCACCCCAAAAATGAGCCTTGGGGACCTAAAAATGGGGTTTTTCACCCCAAAAATAGGGGGGTTCGACCCCAAAATGGGGGTTGGGGAGCTGAAAATGGGGGGTTTCACCCCAAAATGGGGGGTTCGACCCCAAAATGGGGGTTGGGGAGCTGAAAATGGGGGTTTTCACCCCAAAATAGGGGGGTTTGACCAAAAAAATGGGGCTTGGAGGGCCAAAAATTGGGGGGTTGACCCCAAAATGGGGTTTGGGGACCTAAAAATGGGGGGTTTCACCCCCAAAATGGGGAGGGTTGACCCCAAAATGGCACTTGGGGACACAAAAATGGGGGGTTTCACCCCAAAAATGGGGGTTGGGGAGACAAAAATGGGGGGGTTCGACCCAAAATTGGTTGTGGGGTGTCAAGAATGGGGGGTTTTACCCCCAAAATGGGGGGCTTCGACCCAAAAATAGGGGTTGGGGAACCTAAAAATGGGGGTTTTCACGCCCAAAATAGGGGTGTTTGACCCCAAAATGGGGTTTGGAGTGACAAAAATGGGGGGGTTCACCCCAAAAATAGGGGGTTTCGACCCAAAAAAGGGGGTTGGGAACCTAAACCTGGGGGTTTTCACCCCAGAAATGGGGTTTGGAGGGCAAAAAATGGGGGGTTTTGCCCCAAAATGGGTTGTGGGGAGTCAAGAATGCGTGGTTTTACCCCGAAAATGGGGCTTGGGGACCTAAAAATGGGGGGTTTCACCCCAAAAATGGGTCCTGGAGCATCAAATACGGGTCCTGGAAGACGAGAAGTGGAGCTTTTGGCACCAAAATGGGCTTTGGAACCCCAAAACCGGGCTTTTTAGCCCCAAAACCGGGTCTTGGAGCACAAAAAACAAGGTTTGGAACCCAAAAAACGGGCTTTTTAGCCCCAAAACAGGTCTTGGAGCACAAAAAAACAAGGTTTAGAGCCCCAAATATGGGCTGTTTAGCCCCAAAACTTCGTCTTGGAGCACAAAAAAACAGGTTTTGGAACCCCCAAAATGGGCTTTTTAGCCCCAAAATGGGTCTTGGAGCACAGGAAACGTTTGGAACCCCAAAAATGGGCTTTTTAGCCCCAAAACGGGTCTTGGAGCACAAAAAAACAGGGTTTGGAACCCCAAAAATGGGCTTCTTAGCCCCAAAAGGGGTCTTGGAGCACAAAAAACAGGGTTTGGAGCCCCAAAAATGGGATTTTTAGCCCTAAAAATGGGTCTTGGATCACAAAAAAAAAGGTTTGGAACCCCAAAATGGTCTTTTTAGCCCCAAAACGGGTCTTGGAGCACAAAAAAACAAGGTTTGGAACCCCAAAATGGGCTTTTTAGCCCCAAAATGGATCTTGGATCACAAAAAACAAGGGTTTGGACCCCCAAAAATGGGGTTTTTAGCCCCAAAAGGGGTCTTGGAGCACAAAAAACAGGGTTTGGAGCCCCAAAAATGGGCTGTTTAGCCCCAAAACGGGTCTTGGAGCACAAAAAACAGGGTTTGGATCTCAAAAAATGGGGTTTTTAGCCCCCCAAAATGAGCTTTTTAGCCCAAAAATGGGGGTTTTGCCCCCAAAAAGAGCATTTTAACCCCAAAATGTTTTTTTTTGCCCCCAAAATAAGCTTTTTAGCCCCAAAATGGGGGGTTTTAGCCCCACAAAAAGAGCATTTTAGCCCCAAATGTGGGGTTTTTGCCCCCCAAAATGAGCTTTTTAGCCCAAATAAACGGTTTTAGCCCAAAAATGGGGTTTTTAGCCCCCCCAAAATGAGCTTTTCAGCCCCAAAATGGGGTTTTTAGCCCCAATAAATGGGGTTTTTAGCCCCAAAATGTTTTTTTTTGCCCCAATAAATCAGCTTTTTAGCCCTCCAAAATGATCTTTTTTGCCCCAAAATGGTGGGTTTTTGCCCCCAAAATGATCTTTTCAGCCCCAAAATGGGGTTTCGTGCCCCAAAACGGTCCTTTTCACCCCAAAACCCCCTTCCCCCCCAATGACAAACAGAGCTGAGCCATCCTTCCCGCCACGCCTTTATTGCAGACCCAAAACCGCGGGTTTTGAGCCCAAATCGGGGCTGCGGAACTAGAGGTTTTTGGGCTTGGAGATGACGTCATCGTGGCCTTGATGGCGGACCCAAAACCGCGGGTTTTGAGCCCAAATCGGGGCTGCGGAACTAGAGGTTTTTGGGCTTGGAGATGACGTCATCGTGGCCTTGATGGCAGACCCAAAACCGCGGGTTTTGAGCCCAAATCGGGGCTGCGGAACTAGAGGTTTTTGGGCTTGGAGATGACGTCATCGTGGCCTTGATGGCGGACCCAAAACCGCGGGGTTTTGAGCCCAAATCGGGGCTGCGGAACTAGAGGTTTTTGGGCTTGGAGATGACGTCATCGTGGCCTTGATGGCGGACCCAAAACCGCGGGTTTTGAGCCCAAATCGGGGCTGCGGAACTAGAGGTTTTTGGGCTTGGAGATGACGTCATCGTGGCCCCGATGGCAGACCCAAAACCGCGGGTTTTGAGCCCAAATCGGGGCTGCGGAACTAGAGGTTTTTGGGCTTGGAGATGACGCCGTCGGGGTAGAGCTGCTTGAAGTGCGCCACCACGTCCGGGTCCAGCAGGTGGATCCCGTCCAGCTGGTTCCCCAGCGTGATCCTAATTAATTAGGGCATTAATTAATTAATTAGTCATTAATTAGCTCATTAACCACCGATTAACCATTAATTCAGTAACCGAGCTCGTCAGGTCACCCCTAATTCGTTACGTGGGCCCCTTAGCTCAGCGTTCATTGATCGGGGTCATTAATTAATCAGGTCCGTTAATTAATTAGTAATCAGAGTCGTTAGGACCGTTAAGCATTGATTCGCTAACCGTTATTTAATTAGCGTCATTGGTTAATCGTTAGCAATTAATTACTAGTGAGCTATCGATTAACGATTAAGGAGCTATTAGTTGACGATTAATTAGCCATCAGGGAGCTATTAATTAACCATTATCTATTAGTGAGCTATTAATTGACTTTTAAGGAGGCATTATTTGACTATTAGTTAGCCACTAATGCGCTATTAATTAGCTATCAATTAGCCATTAATTAACTCTTAGCAAACTGTTAATTATTAGGAAGCCATGACTTTACTTAAATAGCCATTAATGAGCTAGATAATTAGGTATTATTTAGCCATTAATTATTAGGGAGCTATTAACTATTAGGGAACCGTTAATTAACTATTAATTAACCATTAAGGTGCTATTAATTAGCTGTCAATTAACCATTAACTATTAGCTAGTTATTAATTATTAGGGAGCCATTAATTGACTCAATTAGCCACTAATGAGCTGTTAATTAGCTCTTGCCTGTTCATTATCAGTGCGCTATCAATCAACTATTAGGGAGATACTAATTGTTCATTCACCATTAGTCGTTAATGGGATCCATTAATTAGTACTTATTAATTAGCTATTATTGAGCAACCAAGTCGCTTTAAACGAGCTATTAAGCAACTATCAACAAGCTATCAACGATCGATTAATTAGCCGTTAATTAGTCCCTAACTAGCCGCTAATGTGATCCATTAATTATTAATTAGCTATTAATGCATTATCATTGAACTACCAAATCGCTTTAAACGAGCTATTCAGCAACTATCAACAAGCTACCAACGCTCAAATAGCCGTTAATTAGCTGCTAATTAGACGCTATTAATTCGCTATTAACGCGTTCTCATTGCGCTACCAAGTCGCTTTAACCGAGCTATTCAGCAACTATCAACGAGCTCCCAACGCTGGGTTAATCAGCCGCTGATTAGCCGTTAATTAGATGCTAATTAGGCGCTAATGAGATGCTAATGAGATGCTAATGAGCGGTACCAGTTGGGCTGGACGTTGTGTGGCCGCCCGAAGAGCTCGATCTTGCGCGTGCCGGGCGAGAGCCGCTCGATCATGCCGTAGATCTCATCGGGCTTGTGGCTCGTCGAGCGCACCTGATTGGCCACGCCCCTCATTAGCATAACGCCGTGCTAATTAGTGACGTCATCGGCGACGTCATTAACGGGGGGGGGGGGGGGGGGGGTAACCTCGGCCACGATGACGTCGCAGTCCAAGCCGCGGTTGAAGCCTTGGGGGTTGCCCTTCACCCCCACCTAGGAAAAGGAGGGGTTTTTTGACCCAAAATGACCCAAAATCCCACTTTCTGGACCCAAAAGGAGACCTCTTGAGACCGAAATCTGACTTCTGCGCCCCAAAAGGCAGCTTTGGGAACCCCAAAATCCACCCTTTTCACCCCAAAATCCCACTCTAGAACCCCCAAAATCCACCCTTTTCACCCCAAAATCCCACTCTAGAACCCCCAAAATCCCCCTTTTTCACCCCAAAACCCGACTCCAGGACCCCAAAATCCCCCCTTTCCACCCCAAAATCCCACTCTAGAACCCCCAAAATCCACCCTTTTCACCCCAAAATCCCACTCTAGAACCCCCAAAATCACCCTTTTTCACCCCAAAACCCGACTCCAGGACCCCAAAATCCCCCCTTTCCACCCCAAAATCCCACTCTAGAACCCCCCCAAAAATCCCCTTTTCACCCCAAACCCCCACTCCAGAACCCCAAAAAAATCCCTTTTCCACCCCAAAATCCCACTCTAGAACCCCAGATCGCCCTTTTTCACCCCAAAACCCGACTCCAGTACCCCAAAATCCCCCTTTTTCACCCCAATCCCCACTCTAGGACACCCAAATCCTCCTTTTCAACCCCAAAACCTGCCTCCAGGACCCCAAAATCGCCCTTTTCCTCCAAAAAAAATCAGTTTTCCACCCCAAATTCCCCCCTTTTTCACCCCAAAAAAAATCACTTTTCCACCCCAAACCCCCACTCTAGAACCCCAAATCCTCCATTTCCACCCCAAAATCCCACGCTAGAACCCCAAAATCCCCCTTTTCCACCCCAAAAAAAATCACTTTTCCACCCCAAAATCCCCCTTTTTCACCCCAACCCCCCCCCCCTCCCGGACCCAAAATCCCCCTTTTTCCACCCCAAAACCCCCCTCCCGGACACAGAATCCCCCTTTTCCCACCCCAAAATGACCCAAAATCCCCCTTTTCCACCCCAAAATGACCCAAAATCCCCCTTTTCCACCCCAAAATGACCCCAAATCTCCCTTTTCCACCCAAAAATGACCCCAAATCTCCCTTTTCCACCCAAAATGACCCCAAATCGCCCTCTTCCACCCCAAAATGACCCAAAATCGCGCTTTTTCCCCCCAAAGCCCTGCCCCATACCAAGCAGTGCTCCTTGCCGTGGTTGAGCCAGTGCCCGGTGCGGCCGGTGCGGATGATGCGCTGCAGCTGATTGGTCTTCACCCAGATGATCTCATCGACGCGCTCGTACCTGCCCGTTTGGGGGGAAAACGGGCCGTTTTGGGTCACTTTGGGGTGAAAAGAGGCCATTTTGGGGGGGAAAAAAGGGGCGATTTTGGGGAGCCCCAAAACTCACCCCCAGAGGTTGAGGCATTCGCGGCCCAGCTCCATGGCCCTGTGGGGGAGGAGGGCGTGGGGTCACTAAGGGGGTTTTGGGGCCAAAAACGGGGGGTTTGGGGTTAATAAAGGGGTTTTGGGGTCAATAAAGGGGTTTTGGGGTCAATAAAGGGGGTTTGGGGTCAATAAAGGGGTTTTGGGGCCAATAAAGGGGTTTGGGGTCAATAAAGGGGGTTTGGGGTCAATAAAGGGGGTTTGGGGTCAATAAAGGGGGTTTGGGGTCAATAAAGGGGTTTTGGGGTCAATAAAGGGGTTTTGGGTCAATAAAGGGGTTTTGGGTCCCAACAAGACCCCAATGGAAGGCCCCAAAGAAGACCCCAACGAAGACCTCAATGGAAGACCCCAATGGAAGACCCCAAAGAAGACCCCAATGCGGACCCCAATGGAAGGCCCCAAAGAAGACCCCAACGCAGACCCCAATGGAAGACCCCAAAGAAGACCCCAATGAAAACCCCAAAGAAGACCTCAATGGAAGATCCCAATGGAAGACCCAAAGAAGACCCCAGCAAAGACCCCAATGGAAGACCCCAATGAAGACCCCAAAGAAGACCCCAACGAAGACCTCAATGGAAGACCCCAATGGAAGACCCCAAGGAAGACCCCAACGAAGACCCCAACAAAGACCCCAATGGAAGATCCCAATGAAGACCCCAAAGAAGACCCCAATGGAAGATCCCAATGGAAGACCCCAACGAAGACCCCAATGGAAGCCCCCCCCCGCCCCCGATGGAAGTGGGGTTGTTGTCGACCTCCCGGTGACCCATAGGAAGAGGAAGCCCTCGTCCTGCAGCACGGGGATGTTGAGGCGCCGCATCTCGTCGTCGGTGAGCGTCCCGTAGGGCAGCTCCATGTGGATGTCCCAGGGCGGGTCGGCCATCACCACCGCGAACTTGCCCAGGATGCTCACGTCCAGGTACCGGATGTCGCAGCAGATCCACTGGGGAAGGGGACACACCGAAATTCAGCAGGATGCCTCAAAAGTCCATCAAAATACAACTAAATTCATCAAAATACAACTAAATTCCATCAAAATACAACTAAATTCATCAAAATACAACTAAATTCATCAAAATACAACTAAATTCATCAAAATACAACTAAATTCATCAAAATACAGCAAAAGTCCATCAAAATACAACTAAATTCATCAAAATACAGCAAAAGTCCATCAAAGTACAACTAAATTCATCAAAATACAACTAAATTCATCAAAATACAACTAAATTCATCAAAATACAGCAAAAGTCCATCAAAGTACAACTAAATTCATCAAAATACAACTAAATTCATCAAAATACAACTAAATTCATCAAAATACAACTAAATTCATCAAAATACAACTAAATTCATCAAAATACAACTAAATTCATCAAAATACAGCAAAAGTCCATCAAAATACAACTAAATTCATCAAAATACAACTAAATTCATCAAAGTACAACTAAATTCATCAAAATACAACTAAATTCCATCAAAATACAACTAAATTCCATCAAAATACAACTAGATTCATCAAAATACAACTAAATTCATCAAAATACAGCAAAAGTCCATCAAAATACAACTAAATTCATCAAAATACAGCAAAAGTCCATCAAAGTACAACTAAATTCATCAAAATACAACTAAATTCATCAAAGTACAACTAAATTCATCAAAATACAACTAAATTCCATCAAAATACAACTAAATTCATCAAAATACAACTAAATTCATCAAAATACAGCAAAAGTCCATCAAAATACAACTAAAATTCATCAAAATACAACCAAATACATCAAAGTACAACTAAATTCATCAAAATACAACTAAATTCCATCAAAAATACAACTAAATTCCATGAAAATACAACAAATTCCAACAAAATACAACAAAATTCCAACAAAATCCAACATAATTCATTAAATTCCAACAAAAGACAAGACACTTCCTGAAAATCCCAACAAAATTCACCAAAATTCACCCGGATTCCAACAAAATTCAACAGAATTCCAACAAAATTCAACAAAATCCAACAAAGTTCATCAAATTCCAACAAAATTCAAGACACTTCCTGAAAATCCCAACATTCACCAAAATTCACCCAAATTCCAACAAAATTCAACAAAATTCCAACAAAATTCAACAAAATCCAACATAATTCATTAAATTCCAACAAAAGTCAAGACACTTCCTGAAAATCCCAACAAAATTCACCCGAATTCCAACAAAATTCAACAAAATTCCAACATAAAATTCCAACAAAATTCAACAAAATTCCAACAAAATTCATCAAATTCCAACAAAATTCAAGACACTTCCTGAAAATCCCAACAAAATTCACCCAAATTCCAACAAAATTCAACAAAATTCACCAAAATTCACCCAAAATCCAACAAAATTCATCAAATTCCAACAAAATTCAAGACACTTCCTGAAAATCCCAACAAAATTCACCCAAAATTCACCCAAATTCCAACAAAATTCAACAAAATCCAACAAAATTCATCAAATTCCAACAAAATTCAAGACACTTCCTGAAAATCCCAACAAAATTCACCAAAATTCACCCAAATTCCAACAAAATTCAACAAAATTCCAACAAAATTCAACAAAATCAACATAATTCATTAAATTCCAACAAAATTCAAGACACTTCCTGAAAATCCCAACAAAATTCACCCAAATTCCAACAAAATTCAAGACACTTCCTGAAAATCCCAACAAAATTCACCCAAATTCCAACAAAATTCAACAAAATTCAACAAAATTCAAGACACTTCCTGAAAATCCCAACAAAATTCACCAAAATTCACCCGGATTCCAACAAAATTCAACAGAATTCCCAACAAAATTCAACAAAATCCAACAAAATTCATCAAATTCCAACAAAATTCAAGACACTTCCTGAAAATCCCAACAAAATTCACCCAAATTCCAACAAAATTCACCCAAATTCCAACAAAATTCAACAATTCCCAACAAATTCAACAAAATCCAACAAAATTCATCAAATTCCAACAAAATTCAAGACACTTCCTGAAAATCCCAACAAAATTCACCCAAATCCACCCGAATTCCATCGCATTTCCCCCAATTCCACCACCCCCCTTGCAATCCCCCCCCTCCCCATTACCTGCGGTGGGAAGAGCCGATCGGCGCCCGCGTCGCTCCCCCCGGGGGGCCGGGCCAGCTCCTTGGGGGGGGGGCTGCGCTGGCGTGGGGCGGCGGCGGGGGGGCTGTGGGGCGGCGCCGTGGGGCCGGCGTCGATCTCGTAGTGCACGTACTTGCAGGTGTCCATGTGGAAGCAGGTGTTGAGGAAGGAGCAGTCCCCCAGGGACTCGTCCGTGTGCTTGTTGATGATGCGCCTGTGGTTGTGGGGTGGGCACGCGCGGACGTTGGGGGGCATTGGGGGCCACGCGGGTCCTTAGACAACAGGGATCTGTGGAGCTATGGGCGGGGAACGGGGCTCTATGGGTCGCTCCATGGCTCTATGGCTCTATGGGTCGCTCTATGGGTCACTCTATGGCTCTATGGGTCGCTCCATGGCTCTATGGCTCTATGGGTCGCTCTATGGGTCCACTCTATGGCTCTATGGGTCGCTCTACGGCTCTATGGGTGGCTCTATGGGTCATTCTGTGGCTCTATGGGTCGCTCTATGGCTCTATGGGTCACTCTATGGGTCACTCTATGGCTCTATGGGTCACTATGGCTATATGGGTGGCTCTATGGGTCTATGGGTCTATGGGTGGCTCTATGGGTCTATGGCTCTATGGGTCACTCTATGGGTCACTCTATGGCTCTATGGGTCGCTCTATGAGTGGCTCTATGGGTGACTCTATGGGTTGCTCTATGGCTCTGTGGGTGGCTCTATGGGTCTATGGGTGGCTCTATGGGTCTATGGATGAGTCACTCTATGGGTTTATGGGTGGCTCTATGGGTCTATGGCTCTATGGGTGGCTCTATGGCTCTATGGCTCTATGGGTCGCTCTATGGGTCACTCTATGGCTCTATGGGTCACTCTATGGCTCTATGGGTCACTATGGCTATATGGGTGGCTCCATGGGTCTATGGGTCTATGGGTGGCTCTATGGGTCTATGGCTCTATGGGTCGCTCTATGGGTCACTCTATGGCTCTATGGGTCGCTCTATGAGTGGCTCTATGGGTGACTCTATGGGTCGCTCTATGGCTCTGTGGGTGGCTCTATGGGTCTATGAGTGGCTTTATGGGTCTATGGCTCTATGGGTCGCTCTATGGGTCACTCTATGGCTCTATGGGTCGCTCTATGAGTGGCTCTATGGGTGACTCTATGGGTCGCTCTATGGCTCTGTGGGTCACTCTATGGGTCTATGTGTGGCTCTATGGGTCTATGGCTCTATGGGTCACTCTACGGCTCTATGGGTGGCTCTATGGGTCTATGGGTCGCTCTGTGGCTCTATGGGTCGCTCTATGACTCTACGGGTGGCTCTATGGGTCTATGGTTCTATGGGTCGCTCTATGGCTCTATGGGTCACTCTATGGCTCTATGGGTTGCTCTATGGGTGGCTCTATGGGTCTATGGCTCTATAGGTGGCTCTATGGGTCGCTCTATGGGTCTATGTTGTGGCTCTATGGGTCGCTCTATGGGTCTATGCGTGGCTCTATGGGTCACTCTATGGCTCTATGGGTGGCTCTATGGGTCTATGGATGGCTCTATGGGTCATGTATGGGTCACTCTATGGGTTTATGGGTGGCTCTGTGGCTCTATGGATGGCTCTATGGGTCTATGGCTGCATGGGTCGCTCTATGGGTGTCTCTATGGGTCTCTATGGGTCTGGTCTCTATGGGTCGCTATGGGTCGCTATGGGTCGCTATGGGTCTCACCGGAAGTGCAGGCGGCGGCAGGGCCGCTCGGCGCCGCTGGCCCTCACGCACTCCTCCTTGGTGCCGTGGTCGCAGAACTCCTGGACCTGGGCGCGCCCGCGGGACCGGAACTTCTCCACGATGGATTGCTCCTTCGCCGTCGTCGTGTTGAGCAGCTCCAGGATCTCCTGGCTCACCTGACCCACAGCGACAGACACATGGACACCGACCCATGGACACAGACCCACAGACACCCATAGAGACCCATAGAGACCCATAGAGACCCATAGACACCGACCCATAGAGACCCATAGACACGGACCCATGGACACAGACCCATAGAGACCCATAGAGACCCATAGACACAGACCCATAGACACAGACCCATAGACACCAACCCATAGAGACCCATAGACACAGACCCATAGAGACCCATAGAGACCCATAGACACGGACCCATAGAGACCCATAGACACGGACCCATAGAGACCCATAGACACAGACCCATAGACACGAACCCATAGCCACAGACCCATAGAGACGGACCCATAGCAATGGACCCGTGGACACAGCCCAACCACCCCCCTTGGTGGAGCCCCATTGATGGATCCCAATCACCCCCATGGATGGATCCCCATGGGTGGAGCCCCATTGATCCCAATCACCCCATTGGTGGATCCCCATTGGTGGAGCCTCATTGATCCCAATCACCCCATTGATGGATCCCAATCACCCCATTGACAGATCCCCATTGACGGAGCCCCATTGATCCCAATCACCCCATTGATGGAGCCCCATTGATGAATCCCAATCACCCCATTGACGGATCCCCATTGATGGAGCCCCATTGATCCCAATCACCCCATTGACGGATCCCCATTGACAAATCCCCCCTCACCAACCTCCGCCCCCCCCCATCCATCCCCATTGACCCAGCCCCCCAACCACGGCCCCCCCCACCTTGCCCCCCACCTTGCCCCCCACGCACCTTCTTGCTCTGCTGCTCCTTGGTGGACTGCTGACTCAGCAAGCTCTCGATCTCCAGGTCCACGTCGGACGCCATCTTGCGCGCCCTCTTCATCGCCTCCTTCCCCTCCCCCACTCCCCCTCCCCCACCCCCCCCTCCCCCTCCCCCCGCTCCCATGGCCGCCATCCCCCCCCCACCGCCTCCATCTTGCTCCGCCTTCCTCTTCCTCCCCCCCCTCCTCCTCCTCCTCCTCCTCCTCCTCCCCCCCCTCCCCCGTGGTGGTGGTGGTGCTGCGGCTGCGATGACGTCACCGCTGACGTCACGGCCCCGCCCGTCATGGCGCTCAGCTTGGAGCGGTCGGCGTAGGTGACCACCATGGCGCCGTCGGGGGGGAGGAGCCCCCGGCGCACCTCGATCAGCTCCTGCGCCGCGAACTTCTGCAGCAGGCTCTCCACGCCGCCGCGCGTCGCCGTGACGTCATCCTGCGGGACACGGTGACGTCATCGCGACGCGGACGCGGCGACGTCATCGCGACGCGGACATGACGTCATCGCGACGCGGACATGGCGTCATCACGACATGAACACGGCGTCATCACGACACGGACATGGCGTCATCACGACGCAAACATGACGTCATCACGACACAAACATGACGTCATCACGACACAAACATGACGTCATCATGACCCCAACCACCGGCACCACAAGGGCGTGCTACGGGGTTGACATCATCCTATGGGATGGATGGGGATGGATGATGTCATCACGACACAAACATGACGTCATCACGACCACAAACACCGGCACCGTAAGGGCACGCTACGGGGGTGTTGTCATCCTGCGGGGGATGGGGATGGATGATGACATCATCACGACCCGAACATGACGTCATCACGACGCCAACACCATAAGGGCGCGCTACGAGGGTGACGTCATCCTACGGGATGGATGGGGATGGATGACGACGTCATCACGACACGAACATGACGTCATCACGACGCCAACACCGGCACCGTAGGCGCACTACGGGGGTGACGTCATCCTGTGGGATATGGATGGATGATGACGTCATCACGAGCCAACCACCGGCACCATAAGGGGACGCTACGGGGCTGACGTCATCCTACGGCGACAACGCCGCCTGGAGACCGACGATAGGGATGACGTCATCATATCGGGACGTGTAGAACCCTCTATAGAGATGACATCATCGTATCGGGTCATAAAGCGATGACGTCATCCTATCGGGACACGTAGAACCCTCTACAGAGATGACGTCATCGTATCGGGACGCATGGAGATGACGTCATCCTACCGGGACGTATAGAATACCCCCAATGGGGATGACGTCATCCGATCGGGACGTATAGAACCCACTTATAGACATGACGTCATCCTACCGGGACGTACAGAACCACCCCTTTGGAGATGACGTCATCCAATCAGGACACGCAAAATGGCTCTGCAGAGATGACGTCATCGTATCGGGACGCATGGAGATGACGTCATCCGATCGGGACGTATGGAGATGACGTCATCGTATCGGGATGCATGGAGATGACGTCATCGTATCGGGACGTATGGAGATGACGTCACCCAATCGGGACGTACAGACCCCCCCCCACCGGAGATGACGTCACCCAACGTCAGGGCGCCGCCTATGGGGCGGGAAGGGTGGGATGAAGATGGCCGCCGGGGCAGGAAGTGACGTCACTCACGGCGGCGATGACGCGGCAGAGGGCGTCGGCGTCGGCGGGCAGGGCCAGGGGGGGGTCGGCGAGGAGCAGGAGGAGGCGGCGCTCGAGGGCGGGGTCGCAAGCGGTGACGTCATCGGCGGCGGGGGGGCGGGACGATGACGTCAGCGCTGACGTCGCCGAGGAGGAGGAGGAGGAAGGCGGGGGAGGGGAGGAGGAGGAGGAGGGAGGGGGAGGGGCCGGGCTGGAGGTGCGGGGGGGGGTGGGGTCTAAGGGGGGGGGGGGAGAGGCGCTCATTAGGGTTAATTAACACCCAATGACGTCATTAATTAACCCAGGCACACCACGGAGCCTCATTAAGGGCCACTAAGCCCCTAATTAAAGCCATTAACCCCCATTAACCCCCCTAATTAACCTCATTAATGGCCATTAAACCTCATTAGTGGCCATTATGCACCTCATTAATGCCGTTAAGTGCCATTAACCCCCTAATAATGATTATTAATGGCCATTAAACCTCATTGATGGCCATTAACCCCCTAATTAATGACATTAACACCCATTAACCCCCTAATTAATGACGTTAACCCCCATAACCCCCTTATTAATGACATTAACCCCTATTAACCCCCCTAATAATCCTTCTTAATTGCCATTAACCCTCCCTAACGGCCATTAACCCCCAATGGACCATCATTAATCCTATTAATCACCCCATTCCCCTCATTAACACACTTAATTAACCCCCTCAAGCTCCATTATCCCCATTCACCCCCATTACCCCCCATTCCCCATTAATTAACCACATTAACCCTTCATTAACCCCTTAATTACCCCATTACCCCTCATTATCCCCCTTAATTCCCCCATTACCCCACCTTAATCCCCTTAATTAACACCATTACCCCCCATTAATTATAACCCCTTTAATGAACCCCAGACCGAATTAACCCTCATTAACCCCTTAATTACCCCCATTTCCCCAAATTTCCTGCCTTAATTAACCCCATTAATCCCCTTAATTACCCCATTACCTCCCATTGACCCCATTAACCCCCCTCATTAACCCCATTAACCCCCCGTCATTAACCCCATTAACCCCCCCTCATTAACCCCATTAACCCCCCTCATTAACCCCATTAACACCCCTCATTAACCCCAATTACCCCCCCTCATTAACCCCATTAACCCCCCTCATTAACCCCATTAACCCCCCCTCATTAACCCCATTAACCCCCTCTCATTAACACCATTACCCCCCTCATTAACCCCATAACCCCCCTCATTAACCCCATTACCCCCCCTCATTAACCCCATCAAAGCCACCTCATGAACCCCATTAACCCCCCCTCATGAACCCATTTAACCCCCCCTCATTAACCCCATTAACCCCCCTCATTAACCCCCCTCATTAACCCCATTACCCCCCCCATTAACCCCATTAACCCCCCTCATTAACCCCAATTACCCCCCCTCATTAACCCCATTAACCCCCCTCATTAACCCCATCAAAGCCACCTCATGAACCCCATTACCCGCCCGTCATTAACCCCATCAAAGCCACCTCATGAACCCCATTACCCGCCCGTCATTAACCCCATCAAAGCCACCTCATTAACCCCATTACCCCCCCTCATTAACCCCCATTAATCACCCTCATTAACCCCCATTAATCACCCCACGGGTCCTGCTTCCTGCGCCGCTGCAGCCGCTCCCGCAGCGAATCCAACTGCTTCTTGTGGGCCTGGATGGAGCTCCACGTGTCCGACATCGCGGCCCGGGACCCCGGGGGGGGAACAACGGAGCCAAACGGGGACCGGGAGCCGGGAGCCGAGCACCGGGAGCCGGCCCCGTCCCCTCACGGCGCCGGAGGCGGAAGAGGCCGCTGGGAAGGCCGCGAAGGCGCCGCCGCCATCTTGGGTGAGGGCAAAGGGAAAGGGAAGGAGGAAACCGAGGGGGTGTTTCCATGGCAACGGACGTCTTTACGACGGTTGCGTCGCGACGGAGGGGGAGCGTCGCCGGGGTAACGGCAGCCATGTTTAGTGAGGGCAACGGGTCTTTACGGCGTTTCCGTAGCGGCGGCAGACATCTTGAGGGCGGGCGGGCATCGCCATGGCAACGGGCGCCATTTTGGGAGCGGACGCGTATCTCCATGGCAACAGACGCCATTTTGGGAGCGGGTGCTTATCTCCATGGCAACGGACGCCATGTTTAGCGAGGGCAACGGGGTCTGTAAGGCGTTTCCGTCGCGGCGGCCGCCATATTGAAGCCGGGCGAGCATCGCCATGGCAACGGCCGCCATTTTAGGGGCTGGCGAGTATTTCCATGGCAACGGCCGCCATTTTGGGAGCGGGTAAATGTCGCCATGGCAACGGCGGCCATCTTGAGGGAGGACGAGTATCGCCATGGCAACGGCAGCCATGTTTAGTGAGGGCAACGGCTTATAACGGCGTTTCCGTCGTGGCAGCCGCCATCTTGAAGTCGGGCAAGCATCGCCATGGCAACGGCCGCCATTTTAAGGGCGGGCGCGTACGTCTACGCCATCTTGAATGCTACCCCTTATCCCCATGGCAACCGTCGCCATCTTGGATGCTACCTCCGTCTCCATGGCAACCGCCGCCATCTTGCGCACCGTCTCCCTGGCAACGGCCGCCATTTTGTCCCCTGAGGCCCCCCCAAGAAACAGAAATGGGGGGGGGAGGGGTCCGTTTAATGTCTTTAATGGCCTAAACTATGGTTATGGGGGGGGGGGAGGTGTCTCCATCACCCCCCATTGCCCCTACTCCTCCCCCTCCCCCTCCATGGGGGGGTCCCCCCCCACCGGAGCCCCCCCCTCCTCTTCCTTGGGGGTCCCCAGGGGGGGGTGGCTCCAGAGGGGTCCCGGTGGCGTCCATGGGGGGGGCACCTGTGGGGAGAGGAAGGGGTGGGGGTGGGGTGGGGGTCAGTGTTGGGTCCCCCCCATTCCCTTCCATCCCCTCCCCCCACCCCTTTTCCCTTTATTCCCAAGGGATTTTCCTGAAATTTCCACGTTTTTTCCCCAATTTCCACCCAAATTTCTTCATTTTCCCAAATTTCCCCCCAAATTCCGTCGTTTTCCCCACAACTTCCCTGAAATCGCCTCGCTTTCCCCACAATTTCCCCCAATTTCCCATAAATTTCCCCCCAAATTCCTTCAGTTTCCCGACAGTTCCCCCAATTTCGCTTGAATTTCCTCATTTTCCCCACAATTCCCCCAATTTTCCCCCAATTTTCCTTTATTTCCCCCAGATTCCCCCCTGGTTTCCCCAGTTTCAAAAATTCTCTCAAATTCTCCCCAATTTCCCCCATTATTTCCTTCCTTTCCCCCAATTTTCCTTCATTTCCTCCAAATCCCACTCAAAATCCATCCCAAATTTCAAATTCCATCCAATTTCACCCAAATCCCACCCAATTTAACTCAAATTCCATCCAAATTTCCCACAAACCCCACCCAAATCCATCCCAGATTTTAATCAAATCCCACCCAATTTCAGCCAAATTCCCCCCAAATCCATCCCAAATCCCACCCAAATCCCCCCAAATTCCCCCCAAATCCACCCCAAATCCCACCCAAATTCAGCCAAATTCCACCCAAATTTCCCCCCAAATCCCACCCAAATTCAGCCAAATTCCACCCAAATCCATCCCAAATCCCACCCAAATTCAGCCAAATTCCACCCAAATTTCCCCCCAAATCCATCCCAAATCCCACCCAAATCCCCCCAAATTCCCCCCAAATCCATCCCAAATCCCACCCAAATTCAGCCAAATTCCACCCAAATTTCCCCCCAAATCCCACCCAAATTCAGCCAAATTCCACCCAAATTTCCCCCCAAATCCATCCCAAATCCCACCCAAATTTCCCCCAAATTCCACTCAAATTTCTCAAAAATTCCACCCAAATTCTACCTGAATCCCCTCAATCCAGCCTAAATTTCCCCCAAATCCCACCCAAATTCCACTCAAATTCCGCCCCATTCCATCCAATTTCCCCCAAATCCCACCCAAATTTCCCCCATTTCCCGCCCAAATTTCCCCCAATTCCCTCCCAAATTTTCCCCAAATCCCACCCAAATTTCCCCAAAATTTCCCCCAAATCCCCCCCAATTCCCCCCATCCCCCTCTTACCTCCCCTTCCTCCTCCCTTCCTCCTCCTCCTCCTCCTCCTCCGGCCTCCTCCCCGCGCCGCCCCCGCTCTCGGCCCCTCTCCATGCACAGGGGGCAGGAGCCGGGGGGCGGGGGGGGGCCCCCTTGGTGCCCCCCACAGCGGAGCCTCCACGCGCGGCGGCACCGGTGCCATTGGGCGTCCATTGACGATGACGATGACGATGGTGACGGTGATGGGGGGCGGAAGAGGGGCCATGGGTTCTGGTCGCGCCCGTCGGCGCCCGACAGCAGCCGGAGCTTGGGGAAGGCGGCGAGGTTGAGGTGGGGGCTCCTACTGACTTGATGGGTGCTTGGGTTGACCTGGTGGGTGCCCACGTTGACCTGGTGGGTGCTCACGTTGACCTGTTGGGTGCTCACATTGACTTGATGGGTGCCCACATTGACCTGTTGGGTGCTTGGGTTGACCTGTTGGGTGCCCCCTTTGACCTGTTGGGTGCCCACGTTGATCTGTTGGGTGCCCACGTTGACCTGTTGGGTGCCCATGTTGACTTGGGTGCGCGCACTGACCTGCTGGGTGCTCATGTTGACTTGAGGGGTGCCCATGTTGACCTGTTGGGTGCTTGGGTTGATGGCTTGGGTGCCCTTGAAGACCTGTTGGGTGCTTGGGTTGATGGGCTGGGTGCCCACATTGACTTGATGGGTGCTTGGGTTGATGGGCTGGGTGCTCACACTGACCTGATGGGTGCTTGGGTTGACCTGTTGGGTGCCCGTGTTGATCTGTTGGGTGCTTGGGTTGGGTTGGGTGCTTGGGTTGACCTGCTGGGTGCCCACACTGACCTCTTGGGTGCTTGGGTTGATGGGTTGGGTGCCCACATTGACCTGGTGGGTGCCCACACTGACCTCTTGGGTGCTTGGGTTGATGGGTTGGGTGCCCACGTTGACCTGGTGGGTGCCCACACTGACCTCTTGGGTGCTTGGGTTGATGGGTTGGGTGCCCACGTTGACCTGCTGGGTGCCCACGTTGACCTGCTGGGTGCTTGGGTTGACTTGGATGCTCCCACCATGCTGCTGAGTGGCCACGTTGACCCCTTGGGTGCTGGGGTTGTCCTGTTGGGTGCTCCTATTGACTTGCTGGGCGCCCACATTGACCCGTTGGGTGCTCCCATTGCCCTGTCGGTTGCCCACATCGCCCAGCTGGTGCCCACATGGCCTTGGCCGGCCCCACCATGATGCTGAGCGCCCACGTTGACCTCTTGGGCACCCACCTTGACTTCCTGGGGGCTCCCATTGACCTCTTGGGCACCCACATCGACCAGTCGCTTGCTCCCATTGAGATCGTGAGTGGCCACGTTCAACTCTTGGTTGCCCTCATTGACTTGGGTGCCCCCATTAAGCGGCTGGGTGGCCCCACTGAGCGGTTGGTTGCCCCCATCGACTTGGTTGCTCCCATTGATTTGGCTGCCCCCATGGAGTGGTTGGTTGCCCACATTGACTTGGTTGCCCCCAATGACTTGGTTGCCCTCATTGACCTGCTGGTTGCCCCCATTGAGTGGTCGCTTGCCCCCATTGATTTGGTTGCCCACATTGACTTGGTTGCCTCCATTGAGTGGTTGGTTGCCCACATTGACTTGGTTGCCTCCATTGAGTGGTTGGTTGCCCACATTGACTTTCTTGCCCCCATTGAGTGGTTGGTTGCCCACATTGACTTGCTTGCCCCCACTGACCTCTTGGCTGCTCCCATTGACTTGGTTGCCTCCATTGAGTGGTTGGTTGCCCACGCTGACTTGCTTGCCCCCACTGGTTGGTTGGTTGCCTCCATTGAGTGGTTGGTTGCTCACGTTGACTTGGTTGCCTCCATTGAGTGGTTGGTTGCCCACGCTGACCTGGTTGCCTCCATTGAGTGGTTGGTTGCTCACGTTGACTTGGTTGCCTCCATTGAGTGGTTGCTTGCCCCCACTGACCTGGTTGCCTCCATTGAGTGGTTGGTTGCCCACATTGACTTGCTCGCTCCCATTGACTTGGTTGCCCCGGTTGAGAGATTGGTTGCCTCCATTGAGTGGTTGGTTGCCCACATTGACTTGCTCGCTCCCATTGACTTGGTTGCCCCGGTTGAGAGGTTGGTTGCCTCCATTGAGTGGCTGGTTGCCCACGCTGACTTGCTTGCCCTCACTGGCCTGTAGGTTGCTCCCACTGACCTGGTTGCCCCCATTGAGTGGTTGGTTGCCCACGTTGACTTGGTTGCCCCCATGGAGTGGTTGGTTGCCCACGTTGACTTGCTTGCTCCCACTGACCTGGTTGCCCCCGTTGGTTGGTTGGTTGCCTCCATTGAGTGGTTGGTTGCCCACGTTGACTTGCTTGCTCCCACTGACCTGGTTGCCCCCGTTGGTTGGTTGGTTGCCTCCATTGAGTGGTTGGTTGCCCACGTTGACTTGCTTGCTCCCACTGACCTGGTTGCCCCCATTGAGTGGTTGGTTGCCCACGTTGACTTGGTTGCCCCCATGGAGTGGTTGGTTGCCCACGTTGACTTGCTTGCTCCCACTGACCTGGTTGCCCCCGTTGGTTGGTTGGTTGCCCCCATTGAGTGGTTGCTTGCCCACACTGACTTGGTTGCCCCCATTGGTTGGTTGGTTGCCTCCACCGAGTGGTTGGTTGCCCACGTTGACTTGGGGGCTCCCACTGACCTGGCTGCCCCCAGTGGCCGGTTGGTAGCTCCTACTGACTTGGTTGCCCCTGTTGACTTGGTTGCCCCCACTGCCCTGTTGCTTGCCCCCCCCATTGACTGGGTTGCCCCCGCTGAGCAGCTGCTTGCCCCCGTTACCCTCTGCCCCCTTGCCCGCCACCGCCGCCGCCGCCATCGCCGCGGCGGGCAGGAGGACCTGGAGGCGCTGTGGGGCGGGCGGGGGGCCCGCGGCCACGTGCGGGGGGCGCTGGCGGTGCCGCTGGCAGTGGGCCTTGAGGCCGCCGCGGGCGGCGAAGCGGTTGCCGCACACGGGGCAGCGGTGGGGCCGCTCGGGCGGGTGGGGCTGGCGCGCGCCCGAGGCCTTGCCGCACACGGTGCACTCGCGCCGCCCGCCCGGTGGTTGCGGTGGTGCCGGCGGGCGGAAAGGGGGCAGGAGGTGGAAGAGGGCCGGCTTGGGGGGCAGGAGGGGGCTCTTGTGGGGCTGGAGGGTGCCCAAGAGGAGGACCTGGCGGCAAATGTCCTCGGTCAGCTGGAGCTGGTGGAGCTGGCGCTGCTGCAGGACGCGGAGCTCCTCCAGGATCAAGGGCAGGTTCAAGGGGGTGGCCAAGGCGTGGGGGGGGCTCTGGGGCGGGCGGTGGGGGTCCGAGTCCATGGTGATGGGGGGAGCTGTGGGGGGGGGGAAACGGAAGGGGGGTTGCACTGAAATCCAATTGGTTTAGAGCCAAAAAGTAGGTGGTTTAGCCCCAAAAGCACGTGGTTTAGCCCCAAATCAGGTGGTTTAGCCCCAAAATTAGGTGTTAGACAGCAAAAAGCAGGTGGTTTACCCCAAAATCAGGTGGTTTAGCCCCAAAATTAGGTGTTAGACACCAAAAAGCAGGTGGTTTACCCCAAAATTAGGTGGTTTAGCCCCAAAATTAGGTGGCTTAGCCCCAAAATCAGGTGGCTTAGCCCCAAAATTAGGTGTTAGACAGCAAAAAGCAGGTGGTTTACCCCAAAATCAGGTGGTTTAGCCCCAAGATTAGGTGTTAGACAGCAAAAAGCAGGGGGTTTACCCCAAAATTAGGTGGTTTAGCCCCAAAATTAGGTGTTAGACACCAAAAAGCAGGTGGTTTACCCCAAAATTAGGCGGTTTAGCCCCAAAATTAGGTGGCTTAGCCCCAAAATCAGGTGGCTTAGCCCCAAAATTAGGTGTTAGCAAAAAGCAGGTGGTTTACCCCAAAATTAGGTGGTTTAGCCCCAAAATTAGGTGGCTTAGCCCCAAAATCAGGTGGCTTAGCCCCAAAATTGGGTGTTAGACAGCAAAAAGCAGGTGGTTTACCCCAAAATCAGGTGGTTTAGCCCCCAAATTAGGTGTTAGACAGCAAAAAGCAGGTGGTTTACCCCAAAATTAGGTGACTTAGCCCCAAAATCGGCTGGTTTAGCCCCAAAATTAGATGGCTTAGCCCTCAAATTAGGTGGTTTAGCCCCCAAATTAGGTGTTAGACACCCAAAAGCAGGTGGTTTACCCCCAAATTAGGTGACTTAGCCCCAAAATCAGGTGTTTTAGCCCCAAACTCAGCTGGTCTATCCCCAAAATCAGCTGGTTTACCCCCCAAAATTGTTAGACACCAAAAGCAGGTGGTTTAGCCCCCAAAATTAGGTGGTTTAGGCCCAAAATCAGCTGGTTTGTCCCCCAAATCAGCAGCTTTGCCCCCCAAATTAGGTGTTAGACACTAAAAAGCAGTTGGTTTACCCCAAAATCAGCTGCTTTAGCCTCAAAATCAAGAGCTGGACACCAAAAAGCAGTCGTTTGACCCCCAAATCAGGAGGTTTACCCCCCAAATCAGGTGTTAAACCCCCAGAAATCAGGGTTTGGACCCCAAAACTGGGTGTTTTACCCCAAAAAGCAGTTGTTGGGCCCCAAAACCCTCTTCTTTCCCCCAAATCCCTGCTTTTTGCCCCAAATCACCAAAACCACAATTATTGCCCCCCCAAACCAACATTTTCCACTCCAAAATCACCTTTATCCCCTCAAAAACCACCATAAACGCCCCAAAATCACTGTTTTCCCCCCCAATTCAGCATCATCACCTCCAAAACACCACTGACCCCCCCAAAATCACCGTTTCTGCCCCAAAATCACCATTTCCCCCCCAAAAAGCATCATTTCACAGCCAAATCGATATTATCCCCCACAAAAAACAACGTCCCCCCCAAACCCCTATTTCCCTCCCCAAATCCCCATTTTTTACCCCAAACGACACGGTCAGCCCCTCAAACTGCCCATTTTTCACCCCAAAACGACCATTATTCCCCCAAAGCATCATTTTTCCCACAAAAAATCACCTTCCCCCCCAAAATCACAATTTTCCCCCCAAATCACCATTCCCCCCCCAAATCCACATTTCTCCACCCAAATCCCCATTTCCAGCCCCCAAATCCCCTTTTTTGCCCCAAAACGACCTGCCCCCCCCCCCCCCAAAAGGGATGGATAAGGGGGGGTCCCACCTCCAGGCTCAGCCATGGCTATGGGGGTCCCGTGTTGCCCCCCCCCATAGGAGGAAGAGGAGGGGACCAAGGCGGATGTAAAGGGGGGAGCCCCCCCCAACCGTGACGTCATTAAGGGGAGGGGGAGTTTTGGGGCGAAAAGGAAGGGAAAAGGGGTTTTTGGGGGGGGGCTAAAGGGGGCTATGGGGGGGTTAAAGGGGTGGGGGGGAGTTAAAGGGGGATTTGGGGTAAAAAAACCCGATTTGGGGGAGATATAAACCTATTTCTGGGGCATTAAACTTGCAGTTTTGGGGTGAATAAAGTTCTTTTGGGGGTTCTAAACTAAATTTGGGGGCATTTGTCCTTATTTTAGGTTTGTATATCTTTATTTTAGGTTTATTTATCCGTATTTTAGGGCGATTTATCCTTATTTGAGGCTTATTTTAGGGCTAAATACTTACTTTTGGGGGGAAACATCAACTTCTTTTGGGGCTTAAATACCGGTTTTGGGGAGTTAGGCTCATTTTGGGGGGTTAAGTCCCTATTTTGGGGGTTAAAATCCCTATTTTTGGGGTTAAAACCCCTATTTTTGGTGTTAAAATCCCTATTTTGGGGGTTAAAGCCCCTATTTTGGGTGTTAAAATCCCTATTTTGGGTGTTTAAATCCCTATTTTGGTGGTTAAACCCCCTCTTTGGGGTGTTTAAATCCCTATTTGAGGGGTTTTAAACCCTATTTAGGGGTTCAAACCCCAGGTTTTTGGGTTTTAAACCCAATTTCGGGGCATTAGATACTAATTTGTGTGCCAAAGCACCTATTTTGGGGCGTTTTAGGCTATTTTAAGCAATTGCAGCCATTTTCTTGAGGGGGAGCTGATTTTTGGGGTGGGATCTTCACATTTGGGGGCACCTCTTTTGGTTTTGGGGGTTCAGTCCCTGTTTTAGGGCATAAAGCCCTTATTTTGGGGCACAAACCCCTTATTTTAGGGCACGAACTCCCTCTTTTAGGGCATTAAATCCCTTTTTTAGGGGCTCAAACCCTTTTAAGCTAAAACCTGAGGGGTTTGAGGGTTTCTTTCCCGTTTGGGCTTCATTTTGGGTTTAAAACACCTCTTTTGGATGGTTTGGGGGGGTTCAAGCATGGGGGGGGGTGTGTTAATCAAACA